AGGCCACCCTGGCTAACACGGTGAAACCCTGTCTCTACTAAAAATACAAAAAGTAGCTGGTGTGGTGGCATGTGCCTGTAGTCCCAGCTACTTGGGAGGCTGAGGAAGGAGAATTGCTTGAACCTGGGAGGTGGAAGTTGCACTGAACTGAGATCATGCCTCTACACTCTAGCCTGGGCAATAGAGCGAGAATCCATCTCAAAAAGAAAAAAAGTGCATTAACCATGCACCCAAAGGACTAACATAATCGTAGTTCATTGGGAAAACTGGGGTTGGAGTTGGCGAATGCCAGCTTAATTAGGCAGAGTCCCAAATGGTAAAGGGGTAGGTGGAAAGGACAGGGAAGGGTTGTGAGACAGCCTCCAGGGTGGCGGTCACCCAGAACAGAAAGCACCAGCTTATAGGGAAGGAAACTGAGGACACTGAAGACTCACTTAGTGGCTCGTTCCGAGATCCTCACTTCCAGCTTGTGGCCATCCACCATGTGTAACTAAGAGAGAAGACAACACAGCTCGTCTCTGTCCTGAGAAATACTCACCCAAATCCTTGCCCTTCACCAGAGCAGAGCCCTGGCTCGCAGATGGGAGACTCACTGCTCCCCAGAGAGCGGGGCTAGCTAGCCTCGAGGACAGAGGATGGCTTTTCCTCGAAATGGCTCACACCGAGCCCAGGCAGCAGCTGGTGGTCAGACACTCAGCCCTTGGATGCTCTCTTAAGCTACGGGCAGGCCTTCACCTTGATGCCACTCAAGGGACACGGACTTTTCCATTGTTTATAAGCATTTTCAGGCAAAGTAAGGCCCTTAGTCTGGCTTGCAGAGTTGGGTTTAGTTTGTATGTTCCTGAAAAGTATTCTAAATCATAGCAGAGTTGTAGCTAAAGCTAGGCTCTAACACTGGTCCCTCAAGGCGAAACTGGTGTATTAGCAAAATTACCCTTGAAAATCCCTTAAATCTCCCATAAAATATAGCACGCATAGCTTTGTAGGAACAATTCTTGGAGGCAATATTCACATATGCACTTATACAACGATGTCCAGAACATAATACAGTACACGTGCAAAGTGAAATTTCACAGCATCTTACATCACATGAAAGAGAAATATGGACCACTGAATTTGCAGAGCTGATTTTAAGTTAAATGAATATACAGCTCCTGATCAGGACAGGCCTAAGATGTGGGGCATTATGAAGGGAGCAGAGGACACCTCAAGCTGCAAACACCTACTGAATCTCCTTCACATTAGCTGAAGGCCAGCCTAGGCACCATCATGCAGCTCTAAGAAAGTACATCCCATAAAGCAGCCCATGCGGGGTCACGGAGCTCGGGGATTAGAACTTACAGGTGGTCCAAAATTTGCCCTTTAGGATGGTGCAAATCCCAGGCTGCCTTGCTCTCCATGGCCCCAGCTCCCCTCCCGCTAGAGGGTCCTGATCTGTCCTTGTACTTAGGATCTAGCAGGAAGGCACATCTCCCTCCTCTGTCTGAATAGGATGTTGAGTCTCTATCCAAACAGCTTTTGGTTCAGCCTTGTTCTCCCCACCTTCTCCCACCCTGGCCAAGCCTGGATAACTCAAGGTTCTCCTACCTGCCCCACTCATTGTCCCCTCTCCATGCCAGCAGCCGGAGAGGCTGGCGCAGACGCCAGTGTGCCCACAGCCCTGTAATGGTCACCCACTACCTTTAGGCTGAGCAGTTAAATAGCCTAGAGGAGCCTGCCCTGCACACCTCTCTCCTCATCCTGCACCTTGAACTGCCACCCACGCCACCCCTGCCACAGTGGCCTCTTTGCTTTTCAAATGTACTAAGTTCATTCCCGCCTTACAGCCCCTCTGCACAGTGTTCCCTACTCCCCAACTACTTCCCTCCTAGATCGTGGTGCAGCTGACTTCTGGCCCAGTAGGCGTGGGCTCAACTGTCACCTCCTTAGAGGTGACCACACAGCCTACACACCCTACCTCCACCCCCAACTCGCACCTTTGTCTTCATGACCTGGTCCTGCATGTTTATTCAGAGGCCCATGGCCTGTCTACCCCAGCAGAAAGAGGGGCCTACGTGAGCAACCTCTCCCAGGCCTAGCACCACGCCTGGCACACACCAGGCCCTTGACAACAGTGTTACGGATGGAGTGGATGGGCTATGGTGACCATGGAGTGTTGGGAAAGGTTCTTCATTTTTTTCTTGGGCTACAGTCTCCTAGATACCTGGCAAAAGCAACGAGCCCAGTCAAGCGTAGACTTCACACACATTCCCACTCAATTTCAGAGGGCTGACGGGACCTCTCACTACCTGCCAGGTGCCTCCGTGGCCCTCAGCTGAGAATCCTCACTTTACCTGGAGCTGCTTGAGAGCTTTCTGGGCTTGCTCCGGCTTCCTGTATTCCACAAATCCAAATCCCATGGAAAGCAGCGCTCCTGAGAGAGAGAGAGGTGGAAATCACACCAGTGGGTGGGGGAAGTGGAAGCACAAGGCCAAGTGCAAGGGCTGTGATGGCCCCAGACCTGCGCCATATTTTCTCTTTTCTTTTCATACCCCTCTTCATTCACCCGAAATTTCAGCTTCTGGCTTGCTGTTTATTACTAGTCATCTTGACGAATCAGACAACGAGGTTATATGGCTGCCACCTGAGGCCCATTTGACTATTAATTAACAGATGACTGGCATAATAATTAACTTCATAATAGAATTCTGCTTTGGGAGGAAGACTGAACTAAGAGACATGACCATCGTGAAGGCAAGTGGCAAAGCCTCTACCTGGGCAGTCCTCTGCCGCCGCACAGAAGGCCTGAAATGAACACGTGCAGAGTCAAATGCATCAAAGGCTTGCTCTTCACAAATATTTCTCACCAGCCAGTTACATTCAGTTCCTGGGTTTCAGATATAAAATCTGGATCATGTGGGCGACTGAATTATTCAAACTTCTCTGGTTCCTTACTTCTAGGTTGCAAGTAGCAAGAGTTCAGACAGCAAGAATACTGCAACAATTTCATCAGAAATTCTGCTTCCTGACTATGCATAACTGGGAGGGAGGAGTGTTTTTACAGGGCACTAAAAAACATACGATCCCTAGTAACATCTTGCCCTCTTGACATAAGATTTGATATCTCCTACCTTTCACCCCCACCGCAGCATCTCATACATATTTGTTAGGTTTATTCTTTATTGTTTTTTCACAGTTGAATTCAAATAAGATTGACTTTACTCTGATCGGTACAGATGAGGCTTGAGGCTGTCTTCCTCTGCCTCACTTTGCAGTTCCTGTCTTTACCTCTACTGTGCTGTCTGTGAGAACCATGCTCCCGCCTTTTGATTGACAGTAGGTGTTATAAAATCAGAGCCAAGTGCACTAAGGAATTCCACTAATTGCCCATACATGGCTCAGACAGAACTGACAGCCAGTGCCACCCCATGGTGACTTTAAATGTTTGTTCTTCAAGCAGATACTGCTTGAAATCTCTCTTTTGAAGGCTCGAGGCTGTAGGTGGTGGGCTGGCGTGTCTGTGTACCTATGGGATTTTAAAAGCCCAGTGACTGTGTAAAAGGCAATCGTGAGAAGGTCAAGTTCATCTCTGGGTGACTGACACTATTCAGATCCATCTCTGCCACCGTCCTCTGTGGGAAGCTGACCCCTATAGACAGCTCTACCTGGGCTCCCCAGATTCTTGGCTTCCTGTTGGGATGAGCCAGCAGGAGGCTATGATCTGGGGTTGGTGGGGGGGCAGGTATGGGGTGGAAGAGAGAGAGGCTGGAGTACTGGATCCTTCCACATGTCCCCACCCGCCTCCTTGCTTTGGGTGGCTTTGCAGTGGCCATGTCCAATCCACGGCCACTACTCCTGCAGGTTATCCTGTGGCTCCAACTCTCAGCTAAGCTCTGGTCACATGCTTTCCTCTAATGTCCCTCTAGGCTCAGCAGGGGGAAAGGCATTCTTCCTGTAGAACCCACTCCCTGGATATCCCCGTGGGCTCCCTCAGTCCAGCTACACCTCAGCTCCTTCCTTACAGACATCTCTGCTCCAACCCCAGCTCAGAGTACTGTTTCCTGCTGCAACACTGACTGATATGCTTTGTCTAGATTTTCCCCAAGCTCTCAAAACAGGCCCTTGAAAATGAGAGTGTATGCTTTAAGAGCTGCTTATGACATGGAAGGATCAGATAACCACTTCTAAAATATGCTGAAGAGTGCTCCCCAGGAGTAGAAGGCCGGTCCCACAGAGCATCTGACTGGGCGCAGTGAGAGGCAGCCAGCCACCTTCGCCTGCTGGCCTGGGAGTATCTCTGTCTAGTCTGACCTCCATCCTGGACCTCAGCAACAACTTTTTTTTTTCCCTGAAATCCCCACAACTGGCCCTTCTCATCATTAACTTGATACTTAGCTGCCTTTTCTTGCATTCCAAACTATATCTGAAGTCCCCGGAGAACAGGGGTATTAAAGGGTGAACTGTCTCTTCCTAAACTCACATGTAGAAACCCTGACCCCCAGGATATCAGATGTGACCTTATCTGAGACAGGCTCTTTACAGAGGTAACCAAGTTAAAATGAGATCATAGGTCAGGTGCAGTAGCTCACGCTTGCAATCCCAGCACTTTGGGAGGCCAACGCAGGCAGATCACTTGAGGTCAGGAGTTCGAAACCAGCCTGGCCAACATGGTGAAACTCCAACTCTACCACAAATACAAAAATTAGCCAGGCATGGTGGCGGATGCCCGGCTACTGGGGGGGAGGGGGGAGCTGAGGCACGAGAATCATTTGAACTTGGGAGATAGAAGTTGCAGTGAGCCGAGATCACACCACTGTACTCCAGCCTGGGCAATAGAGTGAGACTTGTTTTGAAAAATAAAAATAAATAAAATGCAGTCATTAGGGTGGGCCCTAAATCCAATATGATTGGATGACTGCTGTCCTTTTAAAAAAGGTGTGAGTGGATTTGATCACAGGATGAGCATATACAAGGAGGATGCCCTGTGAACATGACCACGCCTCAGAAAACAGAGAACCTTCAAAATACTCAAGAGAGAACTCCCCCAACCCCTTGTCTGAAGGTGGAGCTTCTTTGGGAATCCACTCTTTCCGGCTGAGATTTCATGTGGAATACCTGCTTTGTTCTTCTTCTTGGAGATGGAGCAGCTCTTCACTGTCCCCACTTTGGAAAATACCTGGAAAAGAAAGTAACAAGAATCATCAGCATCTCCAGGCCGGTCCTGCGGCCTGTGCAGGCAGATCTTGAAGGACAGAGGCCACGTATTCATGCAAAGCAAGGATGAAAGTAGAAAGGACGCCTGGCCGGTGCTCACTGTGGCCAGGCCCTGTCCTGAGCCCTTCACATACACTAATTCATTCAGCGACCCTGGAGTAGGAATCATTGCTCCCCACTTTTCAGATCAAAAAAGTGAAGCTCAGAGTGGTTAGAGATGGCAGCAGGGTTGCAGAGCTGGGAAGTGCTAGAGCTGGTTAGGACCCAGGTATTCGGGCCCCAGAACCCAGGCTCTAAACCTGGGTTTAGAGGCAGGAAAGGCCCCGTCAAACACTACACCCCCAAATTTGCCATATGGACGTGGGGTCCCAAAAACACTGTGAGGTGACGAGTGATGCCCTGCTTTAAGTAACCTGGACAGTCCCTTAGGGTTCCCCATAAGAGCAGCTGGGCTTGTTTCTTGTTCCAGTTTTAGAAGAAGGAAGTCGGACACAGAACAGTGATGGACTGACTGCAGATCATGCGATTGGGAAGCGGCTGTAAGTTCCGAAGCATGGGCTCTACCGACCCCAGTCTGGACCTTTCTCACTGCCCCCTGCACCAGATGCCAAAATGGTTTTTACAAAACTTTTAAGTTATAGTGTATTCTATTTTTCTCTTTTTCTGTCTCCTTTGCTAGAATTTGAAACCCAGACCGGGAAAAAAATCCATGTTTACCTGGTTCCTGGCTATGTGTTCAGCACCACACACACACACACACGGCCCAGGGAAAGACAGGCACCCCATAAACATTCACCACATGAGCACTGGGGAAGCCGAGGGGCAGCGGAGGGTCTTGGGAAAGGCAGGCACCCAATGAACGTTCACCACGTGAGCACTGGGGAAGCCGAGGGGCAGCGGAGGATCTTGGGAAAGGCAGGCACCCAATGAACGTTCACCACGTGAGCACTGGGGAAGACGAGGGGCAGCGGAGGGTCTTGGGAAAGGCAGGCACCCAATGAACGTTCACCACGCGAGCACCGGGGAAGCCGAGGGGCAGCGGAGGATCTTGGGAAACGAATACCATGAGCAGCAGCTACTTACTGCCTCTTGTGTTTAAAGTGTCAGATGCTTTTACTTGGAATATCTCCTTTATCTTAGTCAAATCATCAAAACTGCCATGAGAAGGCTCTATTAACTTCCCCACGTTACAGATGAAAATGAGGCACAGAAAGGCTGAAGGACTCACTCAGGATCAAATTAGCAAGGAGCAAAGCTGGGATCCAAGCCCAGGCAGGAGGATGGCTAACCATGGCTCTCCACTCAGGGCGCTGAGACAGGAGCCCTGGGAGCTAGGGGCTTTCACCCCAGGGCCTCAAGTGGGCTGTGTGACCTAAGGGCAGTGAACCGGCCTCTCGGAAGCTCAGTCTCCAACCATGTTACGTGAAGAGACTGAACTAGGTCATCTTGGCTGTGGCTTGCAGCTCCAGAATTCTTGAATTCGGAGGCTGCTCTTGGGCTGATGTTTGAGTGCCTCTCCCAGGAAACAATGATTCTGGACAGTGACGTTCCCACACCAGACCGACACCAGAAAGAAAAAACTATGTTCCAATCTATCTGACATGTTCAAATCTATCTACCTTTTGGATGCTACTAGCACATGCTGCTGTTTAAAAGCAAAGCAAAACAAAAATGGAACCAGTAAGTAGCCAAAGAGAAGTCTACCTGTGAGTTTCCAATCACTTAATAAGGTGAATCTTGGTTCCTAAACGCTGCTGCTTTAGCCAGGGTATCTCTGCTGCAGGGCTGTTCACAGAGGCTGAGCCAGATGGTGTCGGAGGGGTTCTGACCCTCTGCCTCTCCCCCATACCACAATGGCCTCCACATCATCGGCCCACAATGTTTCCACCCCTGAGGCTCAGTGGACACTGACTCCTCTCTTGACCCCATGACAGAATTTTAGGGTTCAGAGGGATTTTTAGAAATCAATCAGGTCAATTCTTATGGCTAGCTTCCTTCCCAGAACAAGTTGTGATGGCTATCAGCCTGCTGTTATTCATTAAAACAAAACAAAAAACTAAAAACCCATTGAGTGTTTACTCTGTGCCAAGCTCAGTCTCTAAAAATAAAGGGTCTCCTGAGGGAGGTGCAGCACAGTAGGGGGGCCTGCAGAGCCCACTCCTTTGGAACTGGAGGCCCCGTTCCTCAAGGGCTAGTCCAATTCCTTCCAGAAGCTCCGGGCCCTGACTCAACACAGCCCTCATTTGGCTTTTACCAACTTTCTATTTGGTGCTCCCTGTCCTTCCATGCCTTGCCCTCTTCCCATAAATGCAAAAATCTCACCCCAGCCCGGAATTCCAGGTCAGGCCCAGACCCTCAGTCACTAATGTGGCTTCCCCATTATTCCCAGCGGGCCGAGAAGATTGTGCTGACATTGACTTTTGGGTAGTTTATATCAGCGAAACAATTTTGGGGGGTTTTCTAAATATATAATCCAAACACTGACTATCGCTTTTATATCCCACAGTCTCCCTAGAGACCCTAGCATGCTTCCAAAGCATACATGGTAGCCCCTCTCAGGCCCCCTGGCCGCCCTTGCTATTACTCTAGTCTTCAGTTGAGCCAACTACTGGACACCCCAGGAGACAGGGTCAGGTAGGTGGTGCTGGTTGTTGCCGAAGTGCATATGAACACACTTCACGTTTAAAGGCAGAACAAATGCAGTGGCCACATTAGTAGACTGGGGTTTCCCATCCCATGCCTCTCCCTCCTGGGCTGAGAAACCACTCACTTCCTTCAGCTTCTCCTCTGTTGTGTCAAAATTGAGATTCTTAATAAACAGAGTACACCCTGGGAGGCTCTCCTCTTCTTCTTCCTCTTCCTCCTCTTCCTCTTCCATCTTTGCTGAAGAATTGTCTGCTTCTTCCTCCGCTGGATTCTTATCTTCTGGGGTTTCACCATTGGACACTAGAACCGCCATCAAAACAAAAACATCAAATCCATGAAATAATGTGTAGCCCACCACAGCCTCAGGGCCGACTGCAAGGAGCCTACGAGGTAAAGGGGCTCTGCCTCTGTAGGCAGTGTCAGGAAGGGGCACTGTGATCCCCAACTTGTGCTGCGTTTCAGCAACTCCCGAGACAGAGACCAAGTCCTGCCCCCTGATTGTGCTGTAAAGAGAAATAGGGAACACAGCCCCTAAATGGGGCCTTAAACAGGACCGACTCGCACTCATTTAGACTTCAAAATAAATTACCATGTGAACTGTTTTGCTGAACCATGAGCCTAAGCAAAATGTTACATTTCCTCAAAAAAAACCCCACAGTATTTAGTGAACATTCAAACTGAAGTGCAACTTAAAACTGTTCAAAAATTACAGAATGGAGGCTAAACTTAGGAAGAGTCTAAATACCCTTTGAAACTAAAGAATGTTACATGCAATCGAAATCCCCTCATGTGTATTACTTCAGGATGCAGATACACTAAAGGTGTGGTTTTGTCTAAACATATTAAATGCAGAGTTATCCATCACAGGGAAAAACTGAAAATACTCTGTGTTCACAAACAAGGGACCAGGTAAGGTAGAGTGCCACCAAAGGCTGGAATAATATGTAGTCATGAAAAATGATGTTTCCGAAGAATGCTGAATGACATACAACAAAGCTCATCATATAAAAATTAGAGAAAAATTAAGATATTAAAAATAAGCATATACTGTAATTTTAAAGAATGTTTAATGTAATTCAAATCACGATCTAAGCTAGGTGTGGTGGCTCACGCCTGTAATCCAGCACTTTGGGAGGCTGAGGTGGGTGGATTACTTGAGATCAGTTCAAGGCTAGCCTGGCCAATATGGTGAAACCCTGTCACTACTAAAAATATAAAAATTAGCCAGGCATGGCGGTGGGCACCTATAATCCCAGTTACTTGGGAGGCTGAGGCACGAGAATTACTTGAACCTGGGAGGCAGAGGTTACAGTGAACTGAGATCATGCCACTGCACTCCAGCCTGGGTGACAGAGCAACACTCCATCTCAAATCAAACAACAACAACAACAACAACAAAAGACTTGTATAGTATTTGTGAGAAAACATACATGTATGGACACATACCCACCCACACACCCCCCACATGAAGGAGATGCATAAAGTGCTCCTGGTTTATTTCTGGAGAATGGCATTAGGGATGGTTGTCATTTCAACCTGTCACTGCTAGCACTTGGTACTGCTCCTACTCTGAAGTAACAGCATTTTAGGGAGAGGGAAGAGCAAATGTGATGTGAAGTTGTGAGTTAGCAAGGGGTGTGTGTGTGCGTGTGTGTGGCTGCAGCTCAGGGAGCTGGAAGCAGGGAGACTAGACCTGCTAGCCTGCAGTGGCACTAAGCATGTGGATTTCATTCTCAGCTGATGGAAGCCTCAGGAAGTCGGAATAGGGCAGTGTCATGATCTTTTGCGAAGTCCTAGGAGGAAATATGTTCCATTTGTTTCAAGCTCCCCAATTTCCCCAAGTTACATGATCAGGATCTGGAGACAAATTCCTCCTCCAAAGACAAGGCTTCTTCTGAAGCTATTCTCACATCCTCCAGTAAGTCAAACTGTCTTAGCAATTCTTCAAAGCAGTTCTCAGGCTGTGCCTTCACACCCCTCACCTTCAATGTTTCCAAGCAGATGACCAGTGACTTCCTTGGAGATTTAAACCCTGCACCCCAGCCTGGCTGAAGCACCTGGAGGTCCCATGGGCGGGCAGGCTGGAACTGATGGAGACAGCCCATTTCTACTCACACCTTCATTTGGATAGTTCAAACTTCTGCATGGTGTAAGGGGGCTTCTTGGGGTTCAGCTCCATCCCACATACTCTTATCACCAAGCACTAAAGATGCCTCTGTCTGTCCTGCCCTTCCTGATGCTTTCAAGTCTTAATTAAGCTTCAACCACTCATAAAACAACTCTCTCAGGCCCTTACAGAAACAGCTACCATGATAATGCTGTCTCTTTAACATCAGTTGAACCTGCTGCCCTTGTCCCTAGAGTAAGCCCAGAACCAAGACTCAGGCCCCAGGACAAAAAGAAGAAGTCTACACAAAGCCTCCTCCCCCAGTCAAGAAACGAACACAGCCCAGCAAGAGAGACTCCATGGCGTGGCCCTTTGTACTCAAAACCCAACTTTCAAACAAAGCTGGAGGAAAAAGTATCACTAATGATGAGAACGAAAGCTACGCAAAGCAGCCAAGACTTCAGGTCTGGACCAGAAAGTCCATGGAGATGCAAACCACAAGCATCGGCAGGGAGTAGTATCCCACCCTGCTGGCCCTCCCTGGCATTTGACATCTTGGAGAACAAAGGAGGAAGGAAAGAGCATCGATGAGATCCCCTACCAAACGACAGGCACGTGGCTGGATGCCCTAAGTCCAGTCTCACTCATGACCACGGCAGCCACGTCAGAGAAAACGGGGGGCCCAAGGAGAGTTCTGAAGCCTGCCACATCTGAACCCGAAATCTCAGGGACCTTCAGGTTGGTGAGACAGGTTCATGGAAGACTAGGAAAAAAAATTATAGAGAAAAGCGCAGTGGGGATGATGGTGACCATGAGGGCTCATGGCCACTTTAAAGGAGCAGCCCCTTCTTGCCACTGGCCAATTGACAGGGAGGTCAACCTAGCAAGGCCAGAGTCCAGATCTATTGAGACAAGCAGGAAATCCAGCTTTACAGAGGAAATCCCATGGTTTTTAAATCTTGGCAACTTAATGGCAAGTGGCTTTTGAATAGGCAGTAGTCAGCAAGTACACGGGCCCATCGAAGCCTCGGTGCTCTGCTCCCTGCATCCATTCTGCCCTAGACCGCCAGCAAAGATGCCCTTCCCTCTTTCTCCCCCAAGGCCCCAGAACCCAACCAGTGCCCGGCATGGTATTCCAGGAGTTTCAAGTCTCACAAGGGTAACAAGCCGGGGAGCCCAGTAGCCCTCAGCGTGGCTGGAGTTGACTCTACCCTGGTCCGTAAGCGGTGGCTGGTGTGCTGCAAAGGGCATCTTTAAATGCCCAGGCACCTGCCGAGGGAGGTGTGATGTTTGGGTTTAGTAACAGGGCTAAGAACAGGAATGGACAGGTCCCTTCCCTGGCAGGTCAGCTGCCCTTAGCCCCAGCCCAGGAAGAACAAGAGGGAACTCTGAGGATGGTGAAGACCTATCGTTTGGGTGTGCAATTGGCCTAGCAGGGGGCTCACCTGGCATCTCCAACCTCCCATAAGTCAGCCAGCACATCTTAACCCTCCACATTGGGAGGAACATCCAGCTTGAAATGAAAGACGTGTTCAAAGGGGTCTGCCTTTCATCCAATAGCATAGGCTCTGGCTGACGCCGGAGATGTCCATTCTTTCCCCGAACCTTGCGTTCATAGCAAGAACCGCCCTCCACCTGAAACTTCACCCTGGATCCTAGAAGAACTAACAATTCAAGAGCAACACAGTCTTTAGAAATCTGCTGGAAAAGGAAGCCTGGAAAAGACGAGGAAGGGAGGCCCAGTCCCGGCCCTGCTGTACCCTACCTGCGCGGCCACGGCGAGTGACCTCACTGCTGTCTTGGCACCCTTACCTATAAAACGAAGCTTACTAAAACCACCTCTCCCCAATACCAAAAATACACACCCACAAAAACCCCAGAGTCATGCTCATTTGTAGGAAAATTGGTAAACAGAACAGCGACTAAACTCGATTACCTATTTTTAAAAATATGATAATGTAATACTTATGAACAAGAAAGAATGCAAAATCGACATTTAACGTTATTTAAATAAATGAATTTCAAATTAATGTGAGAATATTGTATAGGATGTATTGTATAGGTAGTTTCAAAACCCAGTGAAGTACAGGTGTATACAGACTGCTGGCAAAGATAATGACCCTTCCTCCTCTCTCTTCGAAAGCCCTGGAGCCCAGCCAGTGCCCAGCGTGGCATTCCAGGAGTCCCAAGTCTTACAAGGGTAACAACCTGGAGCGCCCAGCAGCCCTCAGTATGGCCTCCCTGGGCCACGGGCAGTGACTGGTGTGCTTTACCGGGGAAGAGCTGTTGCCTTTGCCAGCAGTCCGCATACAACACCCGTGTTTTGCTGGGCTGTTTGGAAACACAAGTGTCCACTACTTCCTCCATCTGCCAGGCCATGGCTCCATCACCTCTCACCTCACCTGGACAACTGAATAGCCTCCTTGCTGCTGTGCCCTTTGCCCCTGTCCCTGGCTCACCACCTTCCCTGACCTTATCCCTGGCCCTTTTCCCTTCTCTCTTGTCACCTCCATTCCAAACTCACTGGCCTCTTTTCTGGTGGCCGACCCTGCCAAGCCCCTCCCTACCACAGGGCCTTTGCACCTGCCGGCCGCTGCCCATCCTGCTGGTCTGTTGCTTTCCCAGGCCTGGCTTCCTCTCCCTGGCCTCCCCGCAGGGAGCTCGTCCTGTCCCCTCCAGTTCAAGCAGGCTCCAGCCGGGGCCCAGCCACTCGATATTCCGTTCTCCTGCTTTCCTCTTTCCAGAGCCCTTTCCTGTTCTGGTATCACCATACTGAGCAGTTTGTCCCTCTATCTGTGTTCCCCAGCTCCACAGGGAGCTCGGGGACAGGGCTCAGGCTGAAACACAGCGATCATGAGATAGAGAGGAGTGGTGGGGTCTTAGGTAAGAACACAGGCCTCGGAGTTGAAGGCTTCGGGTCATATCCCGGCTCTCTCCACACGTGTGACCTTGTGTAAGGCAAGCAAGCAAACTCTCTGTGCTTCCTTCTTTCCATCTAAAAAGGAGCTGGCTATCGTGGTGCCGACTTGCAGGCCGATGACAAGAAAGAATGCAGAGCAGCCTGTGAGACCTGAGCCAGGACTTGCAGTGAGCGCTGGGAAGTCAGTTTCCTTCTTCTTAACATCACCCCTGTGACCCACACTGCCCAGCAGGCCTTGATGAGAGAGAAATCCGGGGGACAATGGTGGAGAGATGAGACAGCCCAGAGCAGGGAGCCCCCAGCCCTACCTCCCCTTCTCCCTGCAGGGTGAGCTGCTGGCTGCAGGCTCCCAGGAAGGCCAGCCAGCGCCAGGCCTCCGAGTCCACAGCCTGGCACCCCTGCCAGCCAGCTTCTGCTCCCCGAGTCATGAGGCCAGGCTGTGTCCAGAGAGGCATGGAGACTCCAGGAGTCAAGGCCATGAAGCCAAAGGTCATTTTCAAAAGCACTTCTGCTGCTGGCCCCAAGTGGGGAGACAAAAGAAAGACGGGAAAGAAAGAAATAAGGCGTGAAACTCCAACAGATGTCTGCCAATAAAATCACCAGGAACCAGAAAAAGAGGGAAGAAGTGAGAAAGGAATCAGGGCTGGGCCCGGGGGTGGAGGAGTCGGGGGGAAGGATCTGAAAGCAAGGTGGGCTGGAGGGGGCTGGGAGAGGCAGGGGAAATGTGCTTCCATCTGTAGTTAGCACAATCAAATCCAGTCACGCATCGCCACATGGGGCTTTATTATAATCAGGCCGCAGAATTTACTGCGGCCTCCTCCCCTTTCCCGGCTCTCGGCGCTGGAGCTGACAGTAAAGACTGTTATCAGTTGCAAGCAGCTTTTCAGGATCTCCCCCAACTCTGAACCCTTTATCTGGAGGTGAGGGTCTTGGTTGTGGGGAGATAAAACACGCTGTCCTCCTCCCTCGAGACTGGTACAGAGAACAGCAGTGCTTTACAGAAAGGAAAGGGGTAAAATTAAAAAAAGAAAAGCTACGTCCACTCCCCTCCTGCTCTTCTTCCTTGGGAGCCTGAGAAAATCCAGGGCTTTGCGGGCTGGCTGAGCCCCCCGCCAGCCCTCGCTGTCCTCATACAACAGGGGAGTCAGGGATCTGGTGAAGCTTCGGGAATAATGCAAAGAGGGCGGGGGTGGGGGAGGAGCAGGTGACAAGAAGCACGGGCCAGGAGGGGCTGTGCAAGGGCTGCGTGTGGCGAGAGGGCAGAAGGCGGCCCTGGAGATCAGCTCTGTGGGAATTCACCGATGACACGGGACGCGGCAGGGCTTAGAATTAGCGCAGACACGCACAACCTCCCGGGCCAAGGGCGGCCGGGCTCTAAGGCCTCCTTGTGTGTCATGGTCAGGCCCTGGAAAGCAGCGCCTCTGGGAGGTAGGGGCTGTTGGGGACACAGTCAACCCCGCAGTATAGACCTAGGAAGTTGGGGGACCTGCGGGCAGGGGATGGGAAAACACTCTGACCAAAGACCACGGCATGCTACCTCCGTGACGTGCCCTGTGCTGTGCTGCAGACATTTCTGTGCCCAGGGCCCATTTCTATTACTACTTGTGACACCTCACCTGTCCCCAACGGCTCTACTGTCCTCCGCGCAGCTGTGCGGTATCCATCTTCATCACCCAGCTCAGCTGCTGGCCAGAGCTGGTGCCCATGGTGAGTTAATGTGCCCGGGACATATTTTTCTAAATTGTAATTTATTTTTGAGACATGGCCTCCCTCTGTCACCCAGGCTGGAGTGTAGTGGCGCAATCCTGGCTCACTGCAGCCTCGATCTCCCAGGCTCAAGGGATCCTCCCACCTTAGCCTCCTGAGTAGCTATGACTACAAGGTGTGTAGCACTACGCTCAGCTAATTTTTGTACTTTTTGTAGAAATGGGGTTTTACCATGTTGTCCAGGCTAGTCTTGAACTTTTGGACTTAAGTGATCCTCCTGCTTTGGCCTCCCAAAATGCACTGTGACTTATATTGCTCAGTCACCAACCGCAGCAGCAGAACTGGTGCATGCGACATCCCACTACACCCTCAGGGGACCAGGTGGATATCACACCCATTTTACAGATATGGAAACTGAGCCTGGGAGAGGCAGGTGGCCTGCTCAGCCACAGAGGGAGGTGAGAACTAGAGTGGCTGCTTACTAGAAATCTCAGGGCCATTTCCCCAGGGGCTCTAGGCCTCACATGATGAGGATGCCAAAGGCTTAGAACCATGCCTGGCATGGTGTAACTGCTGCTTCTGCCCTTGGGTTGGCTCACACACACTTCCTAATCACTACCAGCTGCTGGGGCACATTCCTGGGTGCGGGCATACTGCCGTGAGTAAGGTGAGTGGGCTCTCGGGGTATAGAGTGGTCATTCCAGGAGCAGCTAGAGAGAAACACCAGGGAAAGGAACCGATTCACGACACAATGCCAGGAAGCGATGAGCATTTGAAATAAAACAAAGGGCCATTTATGAGAGCCGCCACCAAGATTCTGATTGATGGTACTACCGTCACCACTGCGTTCTGAGGCTGAGCTAACCACCAAAACCAAATGTTTAGCCCTAACTAAGCTTCTACTATGTGCCAGAGGCTCGGGACACAAAGACAAGTATGACCCGGCCCCATCTTTCCAAGGGACAAAGAGGCCGATTCTCGTGCGCTCCCTCACTCCCTTGAAGCCTGTGGACCGAGCTTCCCTATGCCTGGGCCTCCCGGGGTGCTAGGTACCTGGCTGTGAAGGAGACAGCCCCACTCCCTGCCTTCACAGCTCAAAGTCTGGCTGAGATAGACAGCGAACAAATACAAGTAGCAAATAAACAGAATAAACAAATTGTGACGAGTGCTAAAGAAAAAAGAAGATAGCAGAGAGGGAGAATCCCCAGGACACAAGGAAATGAAGAGCCTGGTGGAAGCGGTCACCTTGGGAAACACCACGTGTCCCCAGCCTGCCTCCTGCTGCCACCCAAGGTGGCAGGAAGAGGCCTCCGCCGGGTTTGTTTTCAGAGCTGCTCAGTCCTGGCTGACCTCTAAGTTTCAAAGGAGGATGTGCTTTGGTCCAAAAAACATTACTTAGGCTCAAGGGTAGTAACTGAACGAAAAACCAAGGCAGTTGTGACTGGGGGGAGACAGTTAAACTTTCGCGAGGTTCACACCAATCATCATGTCATTAACCACGACAGGGGACGCTTCTGGGTCCTCAAATCACAAAGGGACTGAAGGATTTTGCTTCCTGACTGAAACAGGCCTCCAGACCGGCACTTCCTGAATGCCTGGTGCTGGCTGGGCCAGGCCTGAAGATCCACAATGAAACAAGGAAATGAGAAACTCGGACAAGGCAGGGGGGTTAGGTAGAGCAAAGTCTACTTCATTAAAATCTCAGCCTGGGCGCAGTGGCTCACGCCTGTAATCCCAGCACTTTGGGAGGTTGAGGTGGGCTGATCACTTGAGGCCAGGAATTCGAGACCAGCCTGGCCAATACGGTGAAACCCTGTCTCTACTGAAAATACAAAAAAAGTTAGCTAGGTGTGGTGGCAGGTGCCTATAATCCCAGCTATTCAGGAAGCAAGGCAGGAGAGTCATTTGAACCCAGGGGGGCAGAGGTTACAGTAAGCCTAGATCATGCATTCTAGCCTGGGCAACAGAGACTCTGTCTCAATGTTGCTCCCCAACTATTTTTTTTTTAACTGTAAACGTTCTTTAAAAATACATATTTATGAGAACAAAGGAGAGAGTAGCTGAGGACTTACTACCTTTTTTTTTTTTTAACATTCTTATTTTAATAAACAGCTGGTTGCTGTGTTGTGGGTGTGTATGGGTTATAACTTATGAGGAAAATATTGACGTCTGATCAGAATGACTTCCATGATCCTGTTCAAAACGAGTCTAAAGATCTTGGCTTCTAAGATGTGGTCATGGTCCTCAGACTATGAGGTCATCGATGGGGGGGGTGGCTACACTGCCCACTGTGGCCATCTAGGAATGTGTGGGGTGTTCCAGGTTGTCATAAGGACTGGGGGCACCCATGACACTCAGAGGCACAGGTCAGGGATGTGAAATGCCTTGTGATTTGCAAAGCAGTCCTGACAAGAAAGTACTGCCCAGTCCCAAAGGCCAATGATACCCATTTCCCCAGCTAGGAAACATTAGCTAACGGGTGGGGGCTGCCTTCTCTGGCCCCCAGGGGCCACAGTTGTCCCTTCCTTTCCTGACTTTGCAGTCACAAACATCAGAGGGTACTGCCACTCCAAAGACGTGAGAATAGGTATCTCCCATACCAGCCACCCTCCCCCATGAGCCAATCTGGTCCACCTTTGAAACAGGAAGGTTGTTTACACTTGCTCTGCTTTGAATCCCTGTTAACAGATTATAATTTTTTTTTCCCCAGACAAGCTTTATTTGACAAACTAAAAGCATGTTGTATCCATAATTTTGACACTGTTTTTTCAAGGAGATGCTCATCAAATTTGAGTCTGAGCCCCACTGGTCTCCAGCATGAACAAAGACCTTTAAACCAGAGGCTCAATGAGAAACTTCCCGCGGCCCCTCGCCCTCCTCCTTGCCCTCGCCTGTTATCCCAAGGCATCCTGGTCTCAGACTCAGCTCTTACCGGTTTCTGGCTCTGCTTGGTCCTTTTCCGTGGGTTCCGGAGGTGCATCTTGGGGCTCCTTCTTCTGTGGGGCTGTGCTGGAGAAGACGCCGACCGGAGCCCACTCCAGATACAGAGGGACGTGGTGGAACTGCAGAGACAAGAGTGATGGCCCTGTGGGTCCTCATTACAACACACTGCTAGGGAGGGACTCAGTCCCAAGCAGATCATAGCCCAAGGGTCACAGGGGATGGGGAACTCACCCAAGAATGGAGCCAGAAGGAACCCAGCCCCAAGCCCCACTGCTGTCTACTCCCCGAGGACAATACTCGGCCCCCTTGCTGCATCTCAGGGTGCAGGAGAGAGGCTTGTCTCTGATGCCACCAGACATATGGCAGTTCCAAGGCCACTTTTGTGTTTTTCCCAATCAGAGTAGGAAACAGGGAGCGGGGTGAGGAGAGACCATGTCATTGGTAAAGTGTAGCTCTCCAGGAGGAAGTATAAAATGCCCATTAAGAGGACATGCTTTCTATGTGCGTATATCTACGGGCAATGCACGTATACATGTGTGCGTGTGTGTGCGTGCATGCAGATGGTATTTTTTTAAAAGGCTAGCTGGGCATGGTGGTGACACACACCTGAAGCCCTGGCTACTTGGGAGCTGAGGTGGGAGGATCCCTTGAGCCCAGGAGTTTAAGGCTCCAGTGAGCTAGCAGTCTGCCACTGCACTCCAGGGAAACCCTTTCTTTTCATGTGTCCTCTTAAAGAAAAGTGGGGTGGGGGGGGTGATTAACAAGACACTGACACCTGCCACATTAGGCGGCCACTAGCGGGCTGCAGGACAGGGGTAAGAGCGAGACTTGTCAATAAATGCCCTTTTTGAATCTTTTCAAATTTCATACTACATGAAAGCCTTGCAAATTAGTTACGTTTCAGAAAAAAAAAAAAAAAAATACATGCTTGAGAGGGAACAGACTGGAGTGCCAGCAGTGTGCTGCATCACTTAGCTGTGTGACCTTGGGTCAGGGCGCCTCTCTGGGCATCAGTTTCCATACATGCAAAATGAAGGTGGCAGTCTTGTTGTTGGTGAAATAGACACTGCCCCAAACAGGAGGCCTCACCGAGCCAGTGCTCTCGAACTGTGGCTCACACAGAGAGCCTTTGGTGATGGGCACATCCAAGGAAAAAAGGATGGTGTCACATTCCCAAGGCCACCCACAGCTCATTCATGGGGCCCCACCTGGATAACTTTTCTTATGGGTCAGGCACAGACTGACTTCCTGAGAGCTTCGTGGCCAGAGTCCCAAGCTAAGGACTATTAATGGGGTTGGAGTGGCAGAGAATAAGAAATCATTTCCTCACCAGCAAAGTGGGGACATGAATACCTATCTCTAAGAACTAGGTGGGAGACCAAGGTCTGTAAAGTGCTAAAGTGCCTTATGAACAGAAATACTTATAGTGGCCCTGCAAAGGTATGTCTGTATCTTGAATCTCTAGAACCCTTGGTGAATGCGACCTTATTTGGAACAAGGATCTTTGCAAATTTCATTAAGTGAAAGATTTTGAGATGAGATCATCTTGCATTATCCAGGCATGCCCCAAATCCAATGACAGGTGTCCTTAAAAGAGAAATACAAAGGAAAAGTGAGAGAAGAGGGAAAGCCACGTGAGGATGAAGGGAGACACTGGAGTGACACAGCCATGAGTCAAGGGATGCCTGGAGCCACCAGCAGCTGGAAGAGACACAGATCAGACTCCAGAGGAAGCACAGCCCCGGTCACACCTTGATTTCACACTGTGGCCTCCAGAACTGTGGGACAATACATTTCTGTTGTTTCAAGCCAACGAGCTTGTGAAAATTTGTTATGACAGCCACAACCAGCAAACTAATACACGACTGTTGGTTTTTTTTCAAAACCAAGAACCAGGAGACAGCCCCACCTACAGAACTGACTTTCATTCATCTCACTGTAGCTTTAAGATAGTTAAAGCATTCAAGAATGCTCATTCTTGGGCCACAAAGGGAGACCTCGGTCTCTACAAAAAAATAAAAAAATTAGCCTGGCGTGGTGGTGCACGCCTGTAGTCTCAGCCACACGGGAGGCTGAGGTGGAAGGACTGCTTGAGTCCCGGAGTTTAAGGCTGCAGTGAACCAAGATGGCACCACTGCACTGTCGTCTGGGTGACAGACACAGACCCTGTCTTATAAATAAAGTACATTTAAAAAAAAAGAATTGAAAAGAATTAAGATCTTAATCCAAATTAGCATGAGTAAAGAAAGCCAAACAAAAGCTAGAGTCAGGCAAGGAACCAAGGCATGCTTTCTGGAGGACGGCAGAACCTCCCTCTCCCATTCTGCCCATCCGGACGGGTTTTCAGGTGGTAGGGATGACATCCACCCGTGATAGAGACGGGTGGTTTAGGCTGAGCTCCCACGTGCCACATCTGTGAATCTGTAGCCCGCTGCACCCTCTCCCTTGAAGCAGCCCTCTTTGGGCCTTCTCCAGATCAACTCCGGGTCTCCAGCAGCCCTACCTTGGAATAGGCCAGATGCCTGAAGGCCTTGCGGGCCTCCAGGGGCTCCAGGAACTCTACGATGGCGGTGATTCCACCCTCTGGCAGCAGCACGCGGCCCAGGCTGCCAAAACGGCCGAAGGTCTCCTGCAGCTCGGCTGCCAGGGTGCCTGCCGGGAGGTTCTTGACCAGAATCACCGTCTTGCTTCGCTCTGCTGCAGCCTGCAGAGAGGAAATGCACACACGTGGGACCACAGGATGGAGGGTCCTCGGCTGACACCAGCAGTGATCGTGGGGGGGTCCAGACGAGGTTCTCCATTTGGAACCTCAGCAACCGGGCACTTAGGAGGCGGACCCAGGAGGAACCACCCTCTCTGGCATGATGCTTGCTGCATGGCTGAGAGGCAGCTCTGCAGAGGGGGTGAGGCCTGGGGCTCTGAAACTGGATCTTCTGGGTCAAATCCCCGCCCCTCCACTTCTGAGCAGGGCCACACCTTCCAAGGCTTCCAATGGCTGAGGTCTGCATCTCAGTATCAAGGCTTCCCTCCCTGTAACTGCAGGCTGCCCACCTGCTACCACGTGCAGCCAGCAGGACGTGCCCAGAGTTAATGGCTCTGGGAGCAGCCCGTGGCTCTCGAGTTGCTGCACCCCTTGTCCTTGGGTGGGCTGAGACGGAGGTGTGCGCTCTGCAGGTTTCCCCCTAGGCAGAGCTCCAGGCACCCACAGGGCGCCCACTACAGCAGCACACACGCCCCAGTCTCCTTGCCTTCCCCGCATCCCATTCTCACCAGGGTTTTCTGCACTGCCCCCTAAAATTGTTTGCCCTTGAATCCTTGTCTCAGACTCTACACTTCTGGGAGAACCCAAACTAAGAAACTAGCTATTCAGCCTCGGGAAATGCACTTAACTGCGCCTCAGCTCCCACAGTGGCAGCAAGGACGTAGCATCTATTTCACAGGATAGCTCCAGGAAAAGGTTTCATTAAATGGGTTAGTAAAAGTACATGTAATATGAGCACTCTGAAAACGCTAGCAATAATTTTATTAAAAAATAACGTTGGAGGCGGATAAAAGAGCCAAGAAAATATAATGGAAAAGTCTACGCACATGGCCCATCTGGGAATAGGTCTTAGCTCAGCTGCTAATTTAACCTGAGGCCTTGGGTCAATTACTTTGTTTCTGTAGGCTTCAGTTTCCTCATCTGCAGAACGGGCTAACACTGACACCGTCTTACAGAGGCCACACAGGGTTGCTATGAGGATTGCCTGAGGTCAGGAGAGTGAAACTGTCTGCAGGTGGGAAAAAGCCGGCACCAGTGCTTAGACCGCAGTGCTCCAGACAGAGACAGGCTGGGGCAAGAAGGCCTGTGTCCAAATTCAGCTCCACCACGACGAGGTGTGAAGTGACTTCACCCCTCTGTGACTGTGGCTTCTTCTGCAGCGTGGAAGCACAGTAGAGCTGCTTTCACAGGGGTGCCATGTGAACGAAGTGAGCTAATTAAACATGTCAACTTAGAAGAGTGCTTTGGTAAGTCTTAATAAATGTTAGCTATTAGTATATTTATTTCATCCATCCATCCATCCACCCACCCCCCCACCCCCATACCATCAATATTCATCTACCATCTATCCATCCACCCATCCTCCTCATCCACCTTGAGGTAAAAACTTAAGTCCTGGGAAGGCTGTTGAAAGAGCTGTTTGGGGAGTAAAAGCCCCGGGTTTTTGTGCGGGCTCCTCCCACATACAGACTGTTTGACTTTGTAAGTTACCTCCCCGCTCTCTGAGCCTCGGTATCCCAGATTGTAAAATGAAGGAGCGGATGTCATGTGGGCTCATGGTGTGAGAGGCCCTCTATGCTTCCGTCATCCATAAATCTAAGACCTGATACTTGGTGGAGAACAGGTACCCGGAGGTGCCGGACTCTTCTCTGCTAGGTTCAAGAAGGGTCAAAGTACCCCAACAGATCACAGACGCTCTGGGAAGACACTGCGTATGGCAGTAAGATGGGGGTCCCGGCCTGTGTGGAGGAACTGTGGGGTTAGAGGCAGACCTCCTGTACATGGCTGTGGACAGACAGAATCAGGGTCAGACAGGCCACTTGTCTGAGCCCATGTAACATTTCTTTCAGAGACAATTTAGAAATTAGTAATAGTCCTTAGAAGGCCAGATCCTTGAATCCACCTGCGTCTCCCTGGAAAGGCCATTCCTGGCTCTCTAGTGGCCGCTGGCTGGCGCTGCCGAGAGCACCTACCTGGCTGAAGGAATCCAGGCTGACCCCGTTGTCTATGAGGAAGCGCCGCACTTCCTGGACAAGCTGAGTCTCCCCCAGAGCCACGCGTACGGCCACGCTGCCCTTGGTCTCCTGTGGGAGAGGAAAGGAAGAGCCCCAGTTGGCTGTCCAGCAGGTGACATGTTGGCCCTCCCCTTTCCCAACAGCCTGAGGAGGCAGCAGGGTTAGAAACGGATCCAAGGATGCTGCTCACCTCCCAACATCGATCAGATGCCCCCCAAAGGCTCTGTACTTTTTTTTTTTTTTTTTTTAAAGACAGAGTCTCACTCTGTTGCATATGTCCTCCAGGCTGGAGTGCAATGGTGTGATCACGGATCACTGCAGCCTCAATCTCCCAGACTCGAGCAATCTTCACACTTCAGTCTCCTGAGTAGGTGGGACCACAGGCATGTGCCACCACACTCAGCTCATTTTTATATTTTTTGTAGAGATGGGGTTTCACCATATTGCCCAGGCTGGTCTTGAACTCCTGGGCTTAAGCGATCCACCTGCCTCAGCTTCCCAAAGTGCCAAGATTACAAGTGTGAGCCACTGCGCCTAGCCGCCCAATGGCTCTGGCTTCCCAGATCTCTCAGAGCAGATCTGGGACCCCAGAGTTCCCTTTCCTGCACTCCCCCTCCCCCTGTCATATGGGTCTTTGCTGACACTCCCATGCCGAGCTCGTCCCGCCTCGGAGCTCCGGCAGTTGCTGACTTTGGCCTCCATGGTTCTTACCCCACACTCCCTTGCTCTATTCAGTTTCAGCTTAAGCGTCACTTGCTGACCAGCACATCCTCGCAGTGACAGCCTATCCCTCCCTTGGCTTTTCGGTTCTCTGCCATCGCCAGGCCTGCCGCACTGTACCTCTGCTAATGTGTCAGTGTCTGTTCCCTCACTAGAAGGCACCACAAGACCCTCACCGCTCCTGTTTGGGGGCCTGCTGTGTTCCCAGAGCTCAGAGCACTTGTGGGATCTGAAGCGGCTGCAGTCCCCCAGCTGACCTGGGTCTAGAGCTGTGCTGTCCAACCCAGTGTCACAAGCCCCTCAGAGCCACTCAGTATTTGAAATGCAACGCGACACATCTAAAGCACTCTCGGTGTAAAACACACACGCAATTCTGTGAGAAAAAAAGACTAAAATAGCTTGTAACTTTTTTTTAACATTATATATATATAGTGAAATAATATTTTAGATATGCCAAGTTAAATGAAATATATTATTAATTTTGCCTGTTTCATTTAGCCTTTTAAACATGTGGCCACTAGACCATTTCCAGCTACACATGTGACTCGCACTCCCTGATGGACAGCAGTGACCTTCAGTGCCTGGGGAGAAGGGGTGGGCAGCAGTGGGCAAGGAGCTTATGGGCCAAATCCATTGATGTCCTTTGTTAATTTGACAAAAACCACTCCCAGGTTTACCTGGGAAGAACTCAGCTGCCTCTAACTCCAGATGCATGTTTTTTGTTTTTTTTTTTCTTTTTTGTGACAGAGTCTCGCTGGAGTGTGGTGGTGTGATCTAGGTTCATTGGAGCCTCCGCCTTCTGGGTTCAAGCAATTTTCCTGCCTCAGCCTCCTGAGTAGCTGGGATTACAGGCATGTGCTACCACACCAGGCTAATTTTTGTATTTTTAGTAGAGATGGGGTTTCTCCATGTTGGCCAAGGTGGTCTTGAACTCCTGACCTCAAGTGATCTGCCTGCCTCAGGCTTCCAAGTGCTGGGATTATAGGTATGAGCCACCACGCCTGGCCCAGATGCATCCATTTTAAAAGAGGGTATGAAGATACAAAATATACAAAGAACAGGGTATTTTCGGGCTTTATGCAAAATACCTTAGACAAAGTATCCTTTGTACTTTATACATATAAAATATGTTTTATATGAATCCTGCCTGTAATCCCAACACTTTGCAAGGCCAAAGTGAGATGATCACTTGAACCCAGAAGTGAGACCCCCATCCCTGCAAAAATAAAAATAAATTAGGCATGACGGCATACATCTGTAGTCCTAGCCACTTGGGAGGGTGAGGTGGGAGGATTGCTTGAGCCAAGAATTTGGGAGGCTGTAGCAAGCTATCATTATGTCACTATACTCCAGCGTGGGTGACAGAGCAACCCTGTCTCCAAAAACAACAATAACAACAAATATATGTGTATGTATATCTATAGACCTACCTGAATATACCTTTTAAAAAGTATCCTTTTATCCTTTTGTAGAAGGCACAAAGCACATATAGGATACAGAGTAAATGGCATACAAAAGAGCAGATACGTCAGCGGCATAAGACTAGAGACCTAATAGCAGTGTACAACATTAGCACCAGAGGTAACGCTGGAGATTTCTGCTTTTAGCAAAGTGGATTTTAGGTGTTTTTGCCACACACAAAGAAAGGCAAGTGTGAGATGATGGAAATGGTGATTTTCTGGCCTCTGGTAAGCATATCACAATCTCTATGTCTATCAAAACATCACGCTGATTTTTAAAGCTACGTGATGTGGGGGAGCTGGATGGCTGGAGGAGTCCGAAGGAATAAGCTAGACTTGGGAGAGGAGGAGGAACGGAATCCATGACCCTTGCCCTGGCTTCAGAGACCCGGGGGGTGGAAATCCTGAGACACGGCTCAGAGCCAAGGCACCGGAGCTGGCCAGACCTGGTGTCCTACCACCTCCACCTCTTTGCAAGTCTGTGACCTTGGATAAGTTACCGTGTCCCTGGCCTCGGTTTCTTCATCTGGACAATGGGGATATAAGAACAAGAACCCCTACTTCACAGGGTCACTGTGAGGAGCATCACACACTAAAGCTTGTGGCACAGCAGGGGGCTCAGGAATGTCATTCATTGACATTACTGTCAATCACATTCTCTGGGGTGGTTCCATACAGCAGCATGAGAAGCCAGAGCAGGAGCCCGGCTGGGGGTGTTTCCAACGGCAGGGCTGGAGAGCACCTTCCACTCCAGAGGTCTCTGGGAAGGCCCAAGAGGAGAGCCCCAGGGACCCCAGCCTCACAGCCAACAGCAGCATAACATGCCTCCTGCTCTTTCTCCCCTTCAGTTTGGCCCGGATCCCAGAGAGGACTGGTTGGCCTTTACTCACGTGGTCAAAAACTTGACTCTTGGTGGCACTGTACTTCTGTGTGATGGCATCGGCCACGGCATTCGGCCCCATGAATAACGTATTCCAGTTGTGAGAGCTGAGAGGCAGAGGCGGAACAAGGAGATCAGACTAAATGAGGGGAACTCGCTCTCAAACACGAAACCTGTTAAGAAATGGGCTCCTAGGCCTGTCTATATCCCCCGATTTCCCTACCATGGGCTACGTATACGGGGCCTGAAGAAGAGAGGGATGACGGCAGGGACCACCCCTAACATTAGCCCAGCGCTTCATCTGTGTCAGGAACTAAGCACTTCACATACATTCACTCACTTAAGCCTTACAGCACCACAAACGTAAGGCACTACTGTTAATCTCCCATTTTACAGATGAGAACACTGAAGACTGGTAAGGTATGAACCAAACCCATCAGGAGTCAGAAGACCCAGGAGGCTTAGAAATGGCAAGGTGAAGGTGGCAGAGGATTGGGTTGGGGCTCAGTGGCTTCAGGGGCACTGAGGACCTGGCACTGTTGGCTTTGTCCTGGGCCTCCTTCTTCTTCTTGTAGGATGACAATCCCAGGGCACTGGCATCTTCGCTGGTTTCCTTCTTGATGGTAGACGGTAGCACATGGAGCATTCTGCCCTGGATGGGGATGACGGGAAGGGAGTAAACAGCAGTCCTGCCTGCCAGCCCTGCTTCCTGCCAGAGGATGTTGGCGTCTGCCACGTGTAAGCTGGTCAGTACTAAAACTGTGACCAGAGGGTGGGAGGTCAGGTAGAACGAGGCAACTCTCTTCCCACCCGACAGGTACCCCATGTTGTGAGGGGGCCATCTGACACAGCTACACACATGAATCTTTGATCAGTTTATAAACCGCACCCGCAGCCCTCTCCCTGCCCTGCCACCCTGCATCGCCCCGTCCCTGCACAGGTGAGTGAGAATGTGAGCTCGATGCTGGCACAGCCAGGTCTGGCCTGATGACCACAGGAAGGTCAAGAAATCATGAACGAATGAGAAAAGGAAAAGGGTGATGGTGAGGTAGCCTGAGGCTTAGGGATGGATGCTATGTATATTACTTGGTAAAACTGAGAAAAGAGAAGTTTCTTATATTCCACTGCGGCCATTTTAATATGCCCCTATCAAAAAATTCCCTTCTTCTTACTCCTCTTCCAAGGTGGTATCTATAGAGATGAAGAGCAAATTCATCCGTTCAAGGAATATTTTTTCAGTGCCTGCTCTGTGCCAGACACAGGTGTAGGTGCCACAAATCAGTGACAAGAACAGATCAGACCCCACCGTCATGTGACTTCTGACCTTCTAGTGGCTTGTGTGAGGCGGTGACTTAGCATGCCACTGCACGTCTTCTTAGCCTCACAAAGGGGACGGCCGTGTCTACATACACAGACACACACACACAGTCTTTCCCTACCACGTGAGCCCTGCAGCCTCCTGGCCAGCCCAGGAGGGGCCTCACCTGGAATACCTGCCCGTCCACCTCCGAGTAGGCCTTCACGGCGTGCTCAGGGAACATGAAGGTGACGAATGCAAAACCCTTGGGTTTCTTGGTCAGGCTGTCGATGGGGTAGTGGAGCTCAGACAGGGGACCTGAGGACAGGAGAAGTGTTGGTCTCTGGTGGGCTGGGGGCACTTGGCCCCAGGGAAGAATGTGGTGAGCACCAGCTGTGCGCCAACCTCACAGGTCACAGGTGTCATTTCCAGTCCCCTCCGTGTGTCTATCCTAAGAGCAACAATACCTGGGCTGGAGCTCAGCACCACCACCTACCACATGTGCAGCCTGCCTTGGGCAAATGGGCCTCCTCATGCCTCATTTTCATGAGGCACAACAGTACCTAGCGTATAGGCAGCTACACAGGTTAAATGCGTTAATGCAAGCATAGTGCATGAAATGGTGCCTGCTACAGTTAGTACCAAAGAAGTGTCTTCCGTGATGACAGCATCATGCTCCGATTAAAGCACACCCTTTCCACATGGGTTTCCACTCTGAACACCAGCGTCTGACCACGTCCCCTCTCTGGGTCTTTCCTTCCCAAATGGACATTTGCAGTGTATCGATGAATGCTTCTCCCACTCAGCCCAGCCAAGCGGTGTAAGCCAGGACGCCAGCTGGTGTGGAAGGATTTGGTGAGCAGAATGGTGAATGGAGCAGACGGTTCCACTGGGGGCAGGCCCCAGGCTTGGAGGTCAGCCCTTTTGCTGATGGCAGGCCCCACTCAGGGCATCCTTGTCCTGACAACGGGACCCACATCAGGTGTCCAACCTACACCTCTGATCCCGCAACCTACAGCTGGCCTCTGCAGAGACACAGGGAGACACTATGGGGATCTCAAAGGTGTCAAGACCTCCCCTCACCCTGAACCCTCCCTTTCTGCCCTTCAACAATGCTAACTCTACAAACACACATAGCCTGTCGTGGCCAAGCTGGACTATGGGGCTTCAATCCCATGGCCTGACAAATAACAGCAACACCACCACTAATCTGGACATTATCAAATCTATCTGGTGCTCAGCTTGGATAAGAAGACTTTACAGAATTAGGGGTTGAGCTATGGAGGAACACCATGTAGGTATATTCGTCAGGCATAACCTGTAGTTTCTCAATTCCAATACTGAGTGGCAAGAGTTTGGACAGCAAGGGACTATCTCAAAAAAGCCATCCAAATCGCTCCAATTCTGAATTTGGAGAAGTTACAGAGTTCAGACAGCAAAAGATGCCAGTGATGCTATTAATACCTTTTACTTCCTGCCCTGCAAATCCCTGCATTCATCATGTCATTGAACCCACACAGCAGCTCAGGGGTAGTTGGTCCCATTTTACAGATGAGAAAACTGAGGCAAGAGATGTGGTGTTGTGTGCACACTGAGACTCGAACCCAGGAGGTCAGAGTCTGAACCCGGCTCTCATAGCCACTGGGTACCCACAGCCCCAAGGCCACGCCCCTACCGTATTTGGAGAAGAGCTTCTCCAGGTCCTCCTCGGTGCTGGTGTAGGGCAGGTTCCGTACAAAGAGCCTTCCGGACTCGGCCAGGTCCTCCTCCTCTTCGTTCTCCCCGAGCATCCGGCCTTGCCAGGATTTGGCGCTATTCTTTGGTGGACCCTTGGTGGTGGGGACGTTCTTCTCCCTGAACACCTCAATGTAGCGCCCACCTGCATGAGGAGGAGTCAGGGCTCCGGGTGAACCTGGAGCTTGCCAGAGACTCCTTGCTGGTGACTCCAAACTCTTCTCTGCTGCCTTCCAGACAACACGATCAAGGTGGCAGATGACAGCGCCCAACACCTGCCCTATCACCTGGGCATAGGCCAACACCAGGCCTGAACCCAAAATTCACTCACTCTGCCAGATCCACTTCAGCCCTGCAGGGAGCCTGCCTGGGTTATCCCAAACCACAGTAATGCATTCTCTAAAGTCGGGAGTGTACTCTCTGGCACTGCTTGCTGTTCTGCCTTGGGAAGGGTCTTAGGTGACAGCCCAGCCCTGGGTACCTACCTGCTGATGATTTGTTGGCACGCACAGCCCCTGTGCCCGATTAGGGCGCTATTGTCACTGTATCCTGCACAGGCACTATTAGCTGCTCAATAAATACCCACCTCTTGACTTGCTAACAAGATTCCCAAGGCTCCCCATCTTCTCTAACACAACTCATGCCTTCACTGGGAGGTGATACCTGGATTCAAATCACTTGTCTTGGCCAGGGATTGGTCAAAGATTGCACCCCTGGGTATTACTCAGAAGACCTCCCAATTCTAGGGAATTTGCGCATGCTGTTCCCTCTACTGAACGTCCTGCCCATAGAACCAGAGCCTGCTTCCTCAACTGCAGACTTGTGTTCCAATGTCGCCCCTCAGTGTGGCCAAAGGAGACAGCCAAGCTTCCTCCAATCCCTGCCTGCTCGGTGTTTTCCTGTAGCATAAATCACACATTTAATCACACGTGTCTCCCTGCTAAGTCAGTTTACTCTGTCAGCTCCAGAAGGGCAGGGATCTAGGTATGTTTGCTCCACGCCATGTCCCCAGTGTCTAGAACAGTGCCTGCTGAGAGTCAGCACTCAAGGAGAACGTGGAAAGGAAAGGAAGGAATGAAGACGGGCCCCGCAGCACAGGGCTGGCTCGTGGCCAGGGCTTCCTTACCCATGTACTCCCGGTTGCATTTCAGCGCTTTCTTCACTTCCTCTTCGTTGCTGAAATCCACAAAGATGTACCCTGACAGAGGACAATGACAGAGCTAAAATCTGAAGGCCTCACAGACACTTACGGGGGTCCCCAGAGGAACACGATACTGTGCTAGGAGCAGAAAGTGAGGGAGAAACCTCTATCTTGGCCAAATCTCCAAAATACAAAGGATCTCCCTCTCTCTCTCCCACTCGCAGCCACATTTCCCTTTGCGGGGAGCATCCAGACCCGAGCCCGGTGTTGTGGATGAGGATGCTGAACACCAGGGGTCGGAGAACAGGGGGCCTTTCTGTCTCCCTCCAAGCCTCACCCCACCCCTGACTGGCACCTGTTCCATGCCATTCTCTGGAGAAGGGCCCATGACTGCAGCATGAGGCCCCGTCTAGGCACTGGAAGCACCATCTCTACGCCCACTCTGCTCCTGGGTGCCTGAGGCCTTGACTTGCACAAACATAAGCGAATGGGGAGTCTTTCCTGTAGCACAAGAGGCTCCGCTTCCTGACCTCATTGGGCTTCAACGCTGTGAGGCAACAAGGTGAGGACCGTTCCCCTGTTTTTCTGGAGCAGTAAAGAAATACTCCCAGGGGCACACAGCTACTAGCTGGCAATGTCTAGTATTTGGTCCAAAGCCCTGGGATTTTCTGCCTTTCATCACAAGGCTGTTTAGACTCTTTCTGTGACTCCTCTGTGCCCTCCTTTCCTATATCCAGGCACCTCGTCCATCCATAAACATCTTGCACCCTTCTACCTCCTCCTCTCCATGGCCACACCCTGGGCCCGCTGACCACTGATCCTCCCTTAAAGGATGGCAAATGCCCAGCTTCAGGGCCTGTTCTTCACCAGCCAGGGACCATCCTAAATCTGATCACTGCTCCCCGGCCCGGCCCGTTCTAAGCTCCTCGGGGCCCCTGCATCCAGACTGAAGCCCACAATCTTTTTTTTTTTTTTTTTGAGATTGGGTCTTGCTATGTTGTCCAGGCTGGACTTGAACTCCTAGGCTCAAGTAATCCTCCCACTTCAGCCTTCTGAGTAGCTGGGACTCACACAATCTTCAATGAAGCTCCTAAGCTTAAGGGGCCTGGCCTGCCTCCTCCCCAGCTCTCCTGCAGGGGACATTCTGCTGCTTTTCAACATTTCATGCTTGGATGCCAGCTCTCCCCAACTCCAGGGCCTCCAATATGGTTTTCTCTCAGCCCTGACAACTCAGATATGCTTCTTGTTCCCTCTGGTCCCTGAAGTGTCATAAAAGCAAGGGTAATACCGCCGCCACCACCACCAGCATGAATATTAACAGCAGCTTTCACGAAGGGTGCAACAGGGGCTTAGCACTGCTCTAAATGCTGTACATGTGGCCATTCATGCAACTTGGCAAGACAGATTTACGTAACTGCAGAGAAAAAAAAAAAACTGAGGCTAAGTCCCTTCTCCAAGGTCTTAGGGCTCCTACCTGAGATACCTGGACAGGGCCCTTTACCCTGACTTCACCCTGCCCCGTAATCAGTCTGCAAGGAGAGGGATGGTCGGCTGAATGGATCAGCCGGGTAAGTGGAGCTTTTGTGGTAAGAGAGAGTTGGAGAAGAAATGCAGAAACAGGACAGTGATGAGACCACCCCTCAAGCACACCTGCTTCCCCAGATCTCAGCCGAGGTAGCTCTCAACTGCTCTGCCCAGGCCAGTGTCTTCTTGCCAAAGACAGAGTACACAGCCAGCGGCTTCCAGCCTCCCCACGGCCAGGGGACCTCAGTGTGCTTCTCTGAGAAGCAGCACATCTGCTGCTGCATCTCCTGTAGTCTCTGGGGCTGGCCAGCAAGGAGGAGTAAGCATGGGCAGGTGCCTACCTTCCTGAGCTCGTGCCCACCTTCCCGAGCTCCGACACTGCCTACCGGACACACTGCTCACTTCAGGGAAGCCAAAACCCAGGGCTCTGAAGCCAAGGGAGGTGGCTGGTTGCCCGGAGTGCAAACCTGTAGGGAGGGTGGCCCAGGGCACTACCACACATGCTCAGCAGATCAGAGCCCTGCCCACCAGCAGAGCTGCCTGTGGACTTTGCCCAGCAAACCCCAGGACCAGCTGGCATTTGTTTCAGTGCAATAGGTGAGCCCACCGGGATAGGTGAAGGCTAAGATGAGGAGGGGAAAGATGAGAAACCGGTGAAACCTCCGTCCCTGAACACCAGGCCACCAAAGGTTGCGGCAAGAGATGCAGCCTTGACCTGACCACATCCATAGAACTGAGGACCACAAACAGGAAGAACCACGGGTGCCCTTCAAACTTCTTCCTTATTGTACCCCAACCTTCCATCTTCACTGTCTGTCCCCGTTCCCGCCCAGAAACATCCCAGATCGTACCTGTTTTATTCCCATGAGCGTTTCTCACAATTCGAATGGCCACTGGTTTCAAGGGCGCCAGGAATTCCATAACATTCTTCTGTAACAAGAAGAAAAGGTTTTTCCCTTTACCAACTAAATAATAAAAGTACAACCCAACGAAAATAGATGGGGCAAATTTCTGAATCAGAAAGGATTACAAAGTGTTTCATTCTTTAGTTTTTCTCTTTCCTTAGACATAACTCTCCTCCAACATTAAAATTACCTTGGAAAAAATTTTGAAAAAAACCTGAAGAAATGAGAGTAATATAAATACAAAATAGCAATGTCTCTATCAGCAGTAAAAGAGCAATGTCACTATCAGCATTTTAAGACATGGTTTCCCCTCTAGATAATTTTATATACTTGGGATTAAATCTGGCCTTTTTCACTTCTCATGAAGCTTGGGTATTTGGTTTTTGTGTATTAGTTTTGCAAGTAGCCACCTAGTGGTTTTTGTCTTATTAATTAAAGCATGTGATTTTCTGAATAGTTGGTACTGAAAAAATTCTGACAAAATTACAAGACAACTCAGGGAGTTTAATGAAACCTAAATGCTTGCTACTTTGAAGTTTGATAAGTTGCATTTCAGAAATTTATAAACATATAGAGTAACAGAACAGATAAAGACTTCAAGAGAAAAAAGAGCAAAAGACACGATTGGGCACGTTTTTTTGGGGGGGCGGGGGGGGGAAGAAGTCTCGCTCTGTCGCCCAGGCTGGAGAGCAGTGGCACGATCTCAGCTCACTGCAACCTCCACCTCCTGGTTTCAAGCGATTCTCCTGCCTCAGCCTCCTGAGTAGCTGGGACTACAGGCGTGTGCCACCATGCCCGGCTATGTTTTCTGTATTTTTAGTAGAGATAGGGTTTCACCATGTTAGCCAGGATGGTCTCGATCTCCTAACCCTGTGATCTGCCTGCCTTGGCCTCCCAAACTGCTGAGATGACAGGCACGAGCCACCTAAAAGAGATGACATGCTGGCCAGGCATGGTGGCTCATGCCTGCAATCCCAGCACTACGGGAAACTGAGGCAGGTGGATCACCTGAGGTCAGGAGTTCGAGAGTAGCCTGGCCAACATAAGAGCGAAACTGTCTCAAAAGAAAAATAAAGATATATGTGATCTACAAATGTGAGGATGATCCGTCTTACAAGTAATTTAAAATACAAACTAACATGAGATGCCAACTTGACCTATCACATTGATAAAACATTAATAAGACCCAGGGTTCAGGGAAATGGGCACTTGTAGACTCTGCTAGAGGGAGTATAAATTAGCAAGAGGGCACTGATGTTCTGTGCCAATGCCTTAGAATTATACATGCACATGCCCACACAGATTATCTATCTGGAGCAAAGATCAGCAAACTATGGCCCACAGGTCAAATATCACCATGGTCTGCTTTTGTATGGCTTGCAAGCTAAAAATGATTTTTACATTTTAAAAGGTTATTTATGAAACAACAAAACAAAACAAAACAAAACAAAAAACCCAACGAATGTGTGACAGAGATTATATGGCTTATAAAGCCTAAAATATTTACCATCTGGCCTTTACAGACAAAGTCTGCTCATCCCTAATTGCAAGGAACTGCATTATTATAAAAGCAAAAAAACTGGATGTAACTCCCATGTCCAAATTCAGGGGAGTGAGTAGGCCTATGGAAGTTTACTCTGAGTAAGGAAGAGGATGAGGATTAAAAAAATGCTGCTGTAGCAGAGTATATTCAACATTCAAAGAGGTCCACGACATACCATGATGAGGGGGAGAAAGAGTTTCCAAAGAGTTACCAGTAAATTGCTTCTTAGACATACAAAGACAAAAACATCTAAGACGACGCTGCAGTGAGCTATGATGGCACTACTGTACTACAGCCTGGGCAACAGAGTGAGACCCCGTCTCACAAAAAAAACTGAGAACTAAAACCAAAGGAAAACAAAACAAAAACTGTCTAAGAAGATATACCTAAAATGTATCAGCGGATGTCGCTGGGTGGGACACAGGTGCACTGGCCAGGGCGGCCCCAGTTTGCCTGGGATGGGTGGTTACTGTATCTGCAGTCCTTAGGCCTGCGGTAATTCCACCCACAGCCTGGCACCCCACTGGGGTGGCACCCCTCTCTCAATTTAGTGTAGATGATAATTTAGTAGTCATCCTACTTTTGGGCAGTTTTTTAAATATTCTTTTCATTTAGCTACATGGTTTTGAATCTTCTATAGGGAACTTCCATTACTTCCACGAGGAGTAAAAATTAAACCTGTGTTCACCGCTGTTATAGGCCCAGAGACAGCAAACTACACTCCGCAGGCCAAACCTGGCTCACTGCCTGTTTGCGTAAATAAAGTTCCATTCATTTGTACCTACTTTCTGAGACTGCTTCCTTGCTATAAGAGCAGGGCGAGCAGTCACAAGAGAGACGGTGTTGATCACAAAGCCTTAAATATTTACCGGCTGACCCCCTACGCTTTTCGTTAACAGAGTGTGTGCCCACCCTGGCGTGGGTGAAACCAGAACTCTGTCTTGGTGTAGCCACTTCTGTTTCCTGACCCTGACAATGCCGGAGAGCTTATTTCTCAGCCGTGTTGGCCCCCAATTCCTCCTAGCTCATGTCCTCCACTGACTCTAACACCCCCACGCACCAATGGCTCCTGGTCTCCCCACCCTCGTTCTCAGCACATACCTCTGTGACGTTGAACGGGGCTCCCCGCAGCTTCACGGTGTGGCAGGTGGTGGGTTCCTTCTGGTTTGCTGGTTTTTCTGTCTGCGTGATCAGAAAAACAAACAGATGTGGCCACAGTGACTCATACAGCTGCATATATTGGATATAACTCCCACGTCCAAAGTTAGGGGGCTGAGTAGGCCTATGGAAGTTGATAATTTAGTAGGCATCCCACTTTTGGGCTGTTTTTAAATATTCTTTAATATTCACTGGGACATTTCCATGCCAGAGAAGGTACCTGCTGCCAGGGGGAGCTGGGGACTGCTGGGAAGAATCAATGCCTACTGTGGATGGAGTCTGGCCAGAGGTGTGGCCTATGTGACTCCAAGTCTCCGTGTGCCCCTGAGATGAGCGCTGGAACCACAGCCTGGCAAGGTATGGGCACTCAGACAGGGGCTCTGGGGCCACAAGCGGGGTAGGAATGGGAAGGGGCCCTGAAGAACGGGGATGTCAGTGTCACTATTTAGGGCTATTAGTGCCAGACGCTGAGCTAAGCACTTTAGAGATGCCACTGACCTATTAAATCTTTACAACAATCCCATGGAGACTATGGGTTCAGGGTCTTTTTTTCCCACAATTCCAGAATACCAAACAGCTCTGAAAAACCTATGTTTCTGTTAACTTTCATGGCAACAAAACCTGCCCTGACTTGAATGCACTTCCTAGCAAAGCCTGCCCTGAGTGGATATGAGCCCATTTATAGCTTATGTTGATCCACACAGCGCAAGCAGTCATTTCTGGCTGTACTGCAGAAACGGGACTGCACTTGATGATGGGGTGCTACCTTTTATCCTCCGTATTTAGTAACAAGGTAGGCAGAGGGGAGTGAGCCTGCTTGGGGTATTGCATTCCAAAGGGTTTGCTTCCTGAAATCTGAAGATTCCAGAATTCCAGCATATACTTAGGCACAGGGTCAGAAACCAGAGGCAGGGAGCAGTGCCACCATGACCGTCTTTTTATGGATGAAACTTAGAGGCTGAAGGAAGTAAAGTATCTCACCCAAGGTCCAACAGCTACTAAATTTTGGAACTAGGAATTGAGCTCATAATTCTGACTTCTCCACATTCTACCACCTCTCTGAAATATACATTTTTTGGGGGGGAAAAGAAAAAGGACAGGGTGCATAACTAGAAGAGACAGAAAATAAAAGGAGGGAGGAAGAAGAAAAGGAAAAGAGGAAAGAAAAGAGGATAAAGCCTGCTTTCATCTCATTTGAAAATTCAGGGCTGGGGCCAGGTGCAGTAGCTTACACCTATAATTCCCACAATCTAGGAGGCTGAGGCAGGTGGATCACTTGAGGCCGGGAGCTCGAGATCAGCCTGGCCAACATGGTGAAACCCTATCTGTACTAAAAATACAAAAATTAGCCGGGCGTGGTGGTGCACACCTATAATCCCAGCTACTTGGGAGGCTGAGGCACGAGA